CGCCACCGCCGCAAGCGCGATTCTGGCCACCAGCGCATTGGCGATCGAGGTCAAGCTCGGTGGCGACGACGGATCTCTGGCGTTCGTCCCGAACGATTTCTCGATTTCGTCCGGCGACAAAATCGTCTTCAAGAACAACGCCGGGTTCCCGCACAACGTGGTGTTTGATGAGGACGAAATCCCGAGCGGAGTGGACGCCGGGAAAATCTCGATGAGCGAAGAAGATCTGCTGAATGCTCCCGGCGAGATCTACGAAGTGCAGCTGACGGAGAAAGGAAGCTACTCCTTCTACTGTTCGCCGCATCAAGGTGCCGGAATGGTCGGAAAAGTCACCGTTAACTGATTTATTTTGTTTTCTGCTTCCCATTCTTGTGTGTACCGTTTATTATGTTCAGTTTTTCCGTTCAACCGAGGGGGCTCTAGAATTTTCAGATTCAACGTATATGAGACTGATAAAAGTAATAAACCGCAAATAATGTAATTTATGTGCTCTCGTGGGCTTTCTTCTTCCAGGCCCATTTAGCACTTAACGGCCCAATTAAAAACTTGGGTAAATGGGCTTCTTTTTGCATATGAAACCGGCCCGGTTAGAGTTTGCCTTGCCAGTGGGGCCCTGCTGCAACACTGGTAGTACGCGTATAATATTGGGAGTTCGCGCCACTATAAGTGCACTTTTTGCAATTACTAGAAAGCAGAAACTACATTTTTCGTTTGGTTTTTTCTTTCTCATTTCATTTATATATATATATCTCTAATAATAATTATGAAAGGCGCTGTAATTTTGAACGCAGTTCAACGAGTGAAGACACTTGTCTCCGATAAAAAAATTAGGAGTTCATAGAGCTCAAATTCGAATGAATAATTTGACTAAATCATAATATTGAACTAATTGGTGAGATGTATCAAATTCTATCAAAATTTTTTTATTTCATCGAATTGCTATCTTAAACATAAATAAAAAACTATTAATTTTTAATGGATAACGAAGAAAATATGCACTAGAGATAAAAGTCCAATGTGATCTTTTCCCTCTGAAAGTATACTTCGACCACTATTTGAACTTATGAAGATTTGAGTCTATGATCTCATGAAAGCTAACAAACTAGATGGTATTTTTTTCTATACAAATACATAATATATAAAATTTAACATTAGCTCAAGAGTCACGTGCCATTGTTGGCCCCTGCGTAAGATTAATTCGTTCTACACGTGTAAGTTTTTGCTACACTCACCTGCTATACAACAACTTTTTGTTAACAATATTTTTACGACCTAATATATAATTTTTAATACAAGTTGAGAGTCGGACTCAATTAAGAATAGTGAAAAGATTAGAAACTATTCGGTACAATTAGCTTAAATATATTATGCGTAGTCTATTGTGAGTTTATTTCAAATATTTTTCGCACCATTATTCTTCTCTAATATATAAGTGTCGAATAATTAATACATTTATTTTTATTTTTAGAAATAACGAATACATTCCTTTGATTATTTTTGTAATTTTAATGTTATATTTAGTAGAGTGAAAAAATAGAAATAAGAATAATCACCATGGAAAAGAATTAGTATAAATTAATTGAAGAGAGAATGAAAGAGCGAAAAAATTGAAATTAAATGATCCTTACATAGTCCAATGAAACGTTTCCAAATTAGTTTAATTAAAAAGTTTTTGGTTTAAATAAAAGGTGAAAAAATAGAAACTAAATCAACTGCAATAATTATGATGGTTAGTTTTCTTTCTTTTCTTTTCTTTTTTATTTTAAAGAATAAATTATGATGGTTAGTTGGAGATTATAGAAAAAAATTAATTTAATGCAATTAATGGTTAGTTTTTATACATGGTCAAAGCAAGTGATAGGAAGGCTATTTAATATACGGTGAAAATACAGTTTTTAATTTCCCTAATACATTCAATGATATAAAATTTATTAACAATATATTTTAGTTAGCCCTCAAATAATTTATCGTAAAGATGTGAGATTAGATTTTAGACTTTCTCAAAAAGCTATTTACTATAATTACATTGAGAATTTTTTAACTTTTTCGCAAACTCGGGACAAATTTTACTCTAAAAACTTTTMAGCAGGTTAAATTAATTACACTTTACATCAAATAAAGAGTTACAATTTTTACCGTCGGCTAGATTTGCATTTGAATAATCATTTATAAAAATATATTTTTACATGCATTCAATATTTCAAACAAGGGTTGTAATATAAAATTGGTGGGGGGTTTAATTTTGAGAAGGAAAGACAAAACACAAAACCTAGATTTTTTTTTTTGGTTGAAATTGATGTATTATTGATCTTATATATTAAATTGTTAGAGCTTGATATTTATTGTGCATTGATTTATTATGGTTTTATTTGATTGTTACGTTGTTGTTTGTTGAAATTAACAGGTGGATGTAACGAAGAAAGCCAATATGTAAGGTCTAATTTAATTTAATGAAAATGAAAATTTTGGATAAAAATTTAGGCATCTTCTTAAATTGAAAATAAAAATGACAGGATTTTTTGGCAGTAATTAATAAAATGATTGGTGGGTAGTTGTGAAATAGTGCCTTCTGTGGAGGAGAAGTTAATGCAATTAATTTCGTAGACTATTATATATGGAATCTTTTGTGCACCTGCAGAAGTAAATATCTAACAAATATAACACACCAATTTTCCTTGAATTAAATGGCAGTAATTAATACATTCCATTTCCTTTGTTATGTACATATTTTTCCAAAAGGAACTTTTTTTTTTTT